AGCATACAAACTTGTATATATTCTTACAGCTACATTATAATGTGTATTTAAATGTAATCCATATGAATAAGTAAAGAAGTTGCTGTATTACTTACATATTTCCTGTTCCTGTTTGGCTGAAGTCACTGAGATTGAGCCGGAGGATGGATTATTAATCCAGGAGAGCCACTGATGACCGAACATTGTACCTGTTACAGTATGAGAGGCTTTAGAGAAATAAAACTGCTTTAAAAACTCTTGATGTCAGGGCTGAACTGAACCAAAAAAAGGGATGCATTGTGTTCAAGTTAGATTGGGATTAAAGGTGTGTGTGTTTCTGACACATGAGAAAACATAAATGCCCTATTTGTTCTAAATCAGACCACACATCTTTAGACAGACAGATTGTGTTTTGGGCTTCTAGACATCAAACAGCGTTTAAAGGCTCAATGCCACCAACAAAGTGTTTCAGTGGTTTTCCTGTTATGTATGTGTCATCAAAGATTGTCACAGTTTCTCTTTAGCACGGTGATACAGTGTGATTTAGATTTATACACTGACGATTCAGACATAGTTTGAGGGGAAATGTTCTCAGAGTTTGTTCTTGTTCCTGCAGTTGAATGTTTAAATGATGTCGGTGCAGAGTTTGACAGTAGAAGGATGTTTTCACATTCATCTGTTAGGAGTGGAAAGTTTATCTGAGCTCATTGAACATCTGATTTAACTACAAGCATGATTTTTGACAACACAAATAGTCTGGAGGTCAGTCCTGGTCCAGTAGCAACTTACACAGTGTGATCCACCAGTGCACAGACACTGAGAATGGACAGTGAAGTAGAACAGTGATTCCCAACTATTCAACTATTCTACTAGAGTTCCAGAGTGATACAAATATGCCTTACTATCTGACTTTGGTGATAATTAAGACAATTTTTATAAATAATTAATAATTATTAATATTTTACCTCCCTCTCCTGCAGCTGCAGCACAGATAGAAACTGAACAAACTACTGCTGCAATCAGTTTGAAAACCAATCCTCATGACTCACCTGAGCTGATGTCCCTCTCAGTGTGCAGCAGATAGTGTGTCCTGACTGTCGTCTCGTAGCTGCAGCAGGTCTCCAACAGTCCTTTAAATCCCCCAACCCCCCTGTAGCTTTACCTCCAATAGGTGGAGATCCTCTATAAAGGCCACTTCTGTTTGATGTTAGCTTATCTCTCACTGAACAATAGTCTCTGAGGCTGTGACTGTGTGCCATTGTGTGGCTTTTAAACAGTTAAACAGAAGATTTTACTTTTTCATTAATGATTTATTACTAGGGCTTACTAATCTTTCCATTTTACATTTTCAGGTGTGAAAAAATAAGTAATTCTTGGATTGAACTGGTCAGACCCAGTAAGACAGAATGTGTGACAGCAGCATTATAATTAAGCACTATAGCTCTGAAGATTTAAGAAAACGTGTTTCTTTGACCCCAACAGACGTCATATCATCATGATTTTAGTATTTCTTTCAGTGAAAATGAAAATTGTGAATCATATCTGTGGAAATATTTACTTTTTTACTGTATCGTGCAGCCCAACTGTTCCTGTCTCAACATGGCGATGTCTCCCCGCACAACGGCAGGTCCATAAGGACGTAGGAGACGATACCCCAGTGTAGTATTTTACATTATATATAATATTTTATAGGGATACACTGATACCACTTTCAAACCAAGTACAAGTTTAGATTACATTTGGGTACTCACTGATACCGAGTACTAATATTAGTACTTAATAATATGATTACAGTCCAGTTTTATTTTTAAGAGAGGTTACTTAACGTCACGCCGGTGTAAAGTGGTACTGATACGTTATTGGAGTAGTTTTACAAGTACTTGAGCTCAGTAACGGAACAGATACCCGATACTGGTCTCTGTATCGGTGCATCCATTATATAATGTAATATATTACTTTATTTTTCAATTTTATTCTATTTCATATATATTATATTTTTCTCCTATATTTGAACTGCTGTGCTGTTTGCGTTTTAGATTCTTTTTCTAATCTCTCATTTTACCTGTGAGATTTTCTCTTGTTCATTGTCCATGAGCATTTTTTGAGGGAGCATATGAATACGAATTTTCCACATACTTTAGGCCATTTAGCGTATGCATACCTGAAAACATACAGTATTTAATATTAATATACTAATAAATCCTCAGGTGCACCGATTGTTTGAGAAAAATACATGTAGAGAAAACAAAGTTGCTAAAATGTTGAATGTTTATTATCATTATATAAGCCAACAAATACAAAAATCTGAGTACATTAATTTCATGAAATAAGCTTCAAGTGCTACAATTAGAAGCAACAAGAGATCATTATCGTTTATTATTACATTTAATGATTGTATGATACACTAAAATGCCAAACATGCTGCTACCAGCAGGACATCTAACAGCAGAGGCTGCGAGATAAGAGAGACAATGTTCTTTCTCTGCAGCAAGAATCACCCCTGATATGAACTGCTCTTAACAAACATGTAGCCACTGATATGTGTGAGAAAGGAAATGCAGATCACGGCATTGTTTTAACAGCCTCTGTCTCCTGTCTGTTGGTTTTAGTTCCTTTGGCCTCTTTTCTTCCCAAATACATGAACAAACTGTGTGTCTTCAGACGGCAGCATCACATATATTATGTGTGATCAGTCCTTCTGGATCTGAAACCCAACAATCCAATCCCGTCCTTGGATTAATTTTGTAATCGTGGAGGAAACCAGTTTGGAAGATGGAAACGCTGGAAATATTCACTCATTACTTTGATTTTAACAAACCACACTGGATTTTAATTGTTGTAAGTCTGAATTTTGGGGTTTGATGATGATTGAAGATGACTAATCTCAAATACACCAATTTATTATATATATATATATATTATTATATATATTTATGTCAGAAACACACACTAATGTTTTCGGCCTTGTGGCCTTCATCAGAGCATCATGAGGCCGAAACGTTAGCGTGTTTTCCTGGAAATCTGTGTGTGCTACCTTTTAACACTCAACACTGGAACTTAAGACTTCGGTTTATCGTCACAAATAAAATACTGGGAAGGCGCATCGTCTCTAAGATCTAACAATTCAGTGCCTGAAATGAGCCGCCACTTCAGATTGTTGTCCATACGAGTACCCTTCTCACTGAGTACACCCTGTAGCAAGTTCAGTTTTTGGACCTCTGTATTGCTGGTGAGGGACTCCTAATTTTATTATGAATTGGTCCTATACAAATAAAATGTAACTGAATTGTTTAGGATTGTGCTGAAATTACGGTACTCGAATTTAGGCACTGACACAATTATAAAGTTTATGAGGAGTAGCTGAAAACTACTATAACTAGTAGTGTAACTAATTAGAGTTGGCAGGGAGTAATAAGTAAAGTCTTACTTTGGCCCAACTCTTGACCAACACTGAGTGAAGCTCCCCATAAGAGATCACATACATTATTAAATTCAAACAGGTATTTTTCAGTGGAACTTTCTGTTGATGGTCAGCTGTGTTTCCTCACTGTAAGGTTTCCTGCATGATACACAAAGACTAGAAACTGGAGGGCAGATGGAGTGAGTGACATTGGGTGGTGTAGGTGTGAAAAGGGAAATGGGAGAGCTGTTCATACAGAGGACGAGCGGAGATGGTGTTAGTTAGACTCTGTGCTAATGATCCTCCTTATCATTGTCTGTATTCAGCACTATCTGTCTTAGCTTAGGAAACTGCTCTGTGATTTTAAACTTGATGTAAATTTTGTGGGCTGGATTGTAGACTTTTTAACATATAGGTCTCAGAGGGTGAGAGTGAACGGCTTTCTGTCAGTACAGCGCTCTTCTTCAGCCGGCTCTCCTCAGTGGGGGGGCTGGTCCCCTTTGCTGTTCTTTACATCAGTGACTGTAGAAGCCAACCCGGGGGGGGGGGGGGCC